GTGGGCCCCGAATTTGACGACGATCCTTCTCCTTTCTTCGAACCCTGTTAATGGGCATTTTCATAACCCGATAAACGAACAACCCTGATCAACAGCTTCTTAAACTAACAAAATCAAGGAATAAATATTGGATTTTTTATTTTATTTTTTTATTTTTTTTTACCTTGTTCTTGCGTTTCGCCATCTTTGGATTCTTCAAGCTCCGAACCATCTTCAGATTTTCAAATATAAGTGGAAGAGAGAGTGCACTCAGTGGAGAATTGTGAGAAGAAATGAGCAGAGAAGGGTTTTTGCAGAAGGGTTTTTGCGGTTAGAAAGACCAGATAGTCGGAAGATTCCAGTATGGATGGGCCAACACAAACAGATAACCTCTGCCCAAAACTAGAAACACTAGTTTGAGCCCAAACAGGTGGGCCTACATTGTTACGGTAACTGGGCTTGAGTAATCACACATGGGTTAATATATGGGATATTTTTACATCTACTTATCGTTTTTTAGTTAATTACAAAATTATCATTCAAACAAAAAAAATTGTGAATTTACCTAAGAGATAAAAAAATATTATATTCATGCCTAAAAAAACTGTTACATGTGTGATGAAACAGTTTCCATATTTTTAGGGGGCACAATAACAGGATTTTATATATTGAAAAGATTCGTTGAACACACAGCAGAAAGAGAGAATGGAAAACAGACGGCGGTATATTTGCAGGTATATTTTCGTGATATTTGGAGGTATATTTTCGAGATATTTGCAGGTATATTTTCGTGATATTTGGAGGTATATTTTATGCGTAACTTGACATATATACCCGAGATATACCAGAACTGAACAATGTTCTGTAACCAAGCATATAACCCTAACATATATACCATATATATAACTGTTATATATTCTATCACAAAACATAACAAATATACCAATTCACAGTGAACATAAGATAGAAAAAAATAAAAAAAAAATAAAAACCAACAGATATACACTTTGATATACCGAAGATATACATATAACAAAGATATAACCGAAGATATACTGTACATATACTCCAAAAATAAATGAAACGAAAAAAAATCTCAGAAATCATCTTCTTCAAGCTCCCGATCCAACAACTTCTCAGAAATATACTCCCTCTCCGTCCTAAGATCCGAATTCTCCTCCCCTCCACCTCCCGGCGTCAACACCCTCCCAATCTCCCGCATCGGTAGCGGCTTCAATCTCCGGCAGCGGAGGATAAACGATAGAGCACGGATCCAACTCAAGTACCGTCTTCCCCGCTCTACTCACCAGAAACTCCCAATCATGCGCCCGCCGTCCCCGTCCCCTTCCTCGCGCCTCCATCTCCGCCGCCAACCTTCAGAAATCGTAGCTTTGTTCGCTACATATCATATGGCCGAACGAGATTTCTCTCCTCCCTTCGTTCTCTTTGCTCCATGAAGATCTGGTTGTACCGTCCTATTGGAGGTTGACGACCTACAATTTTTGGAAAGCATTTCAATTCCCTTTTGTTTTGGTAAATTGTCACATATATTGATTAGAAGTAATATGTGGAAGGAAAGAGATAATGGGAGATTTTTTTGGGATTGAGATGATATTGGATCGTTAAGGCTATACATATTCTCAATTAATTGCACAGTAGTTTCCTTTAGGTAGAATTGTAATATTTTTTATTTGATTTGGTAATTTTTTAAATAAGTATATAATGGATGTATAAGTGTAATATAAATTATCTCTAAGAGTAAGGGGTGCAAATTCCTCTTAATATATCTGACAATGTGCTCATGGTGAATAGGTCTTCATGGCCCATTTATCTTTTTGAGGTGTTGGGATGGAGAAAAGAAGTTAAGAAATTGTAACAATGTTAATTATTGTAACAATTGTTTGGAAAGGATAAACTGTATATAGTATGGTATTATATTTATAAAAGATGTCTTGTAATACTTGAAAGGCTTGTGGTCATTCTCAGTGCCACGTGGAATTTTTTAGTGTAGGTAAGCCAACATCTAATATTATTAATAGAACATTGTCTATTTTGTGTTGTATGCCATGAAGAAAAAAAAATATAAAAAAAAAAAAAAATTGTTTATATTAATTGTGGTATAATTCGAAATGTATAAATTGTAATTTGTTAGAGAAGAGAGATAAACTAAATAAATAATATAATATAATATATAATTGCTAAATGTATATATATATTTTTTTCGGTACAATGAAAGAGGTCAAAGGCCTAACTAGTTAAGGTTCTACAAGGTACGAAACCCCAATGATATCATGATCAAGTCAAGGACAGGGCCGTAGGCGGTGCAACTATCCTCTGCAACCCAATCGAACAAAATGCCGCCATGCTCGTCAAGTAGTCGGCTGTGAAGTTGGCTTCCCTGTGACATGTCGAATTCACACACGCTTCACAATAAACACCCATAAATGCGGAACTTGAGCAGCAAAACAAAACCTAGAATTCAAGACTTCACATTTATTAAAAACCAAAGCTTTATTTCAGTTTTCTTTCTTGTGGAACCAAACCACACACACCAGGGCCACAGCCCAAAGTCAAACAAATACAACAAATGAAAAAATTTGCTTCAGAAACCCCCCTATTTCACATGTACATACACACAACACAAAATCCCCCTCAAAAAAAACCAGAAAAATTGTAGCTCAGCAGTTCAAAAAGGACTCGAAAAACAGTTCATCCTTCGGCTCTTGCTTGGCCGGGTTTCCAAAGCCCGGGAGCATCTCAAGAGTGCAAGGCCTCTGGTCCCTTAACATCTGCAGCCTCGGAAAATCCGACCCGTTAACGACTGTGGGCCTTACCGCTGTGTTTGTCACCGGCAGGGCCCGGCCCATTCCATAGCCGCCGCTACCTCTAGCGGCAGGGACATCATGATTGTGTTTGCCTTCGTAAGTTGTGATGACGGCCCTTAAGTCGTGGCACGCTCGTTCCACGTGCTTCCTAACCGGGCAGTTGGGGAATGTGCACTTGTAGTAGCTCCTGCAAGGATAATCGAGCTCTTGGTGAACCGAACAAAAAAAAAAAAAAACAAAAAACTCAGCATTGTGAATACAATTCAAGTTGTGTTTAGAAAGCATATAAGCTAGCTTATAAACTTCCTATATTCAAATAAATTTGGTTTGGTAGAAGTTTTTTTTTAAAAGAAAAACCTTATCTCATAAGCTTAACGGGTAGGTAGCTTTACAAATAAGTCAATTGAAAATTTTATTTAGCTAGATTATCAAACACTTTTATCATATATTAACTAACTTTTCAGCCATAAGTCACAATTGCTATCAGCTATAAACTCGAAATTCACTTATTAATTAGGTTTACCAAACATAGCTTACCTAGGATTCGGGTTGCCCTTAACGACCTTCTGACCGTATTTCCTCCAACGGTAACCGTCATCAAGAATGTCGATTTCGCTCATTGTCTGAACCACGATTCTCGGCTCCCTAACCGCTCGACTCCCGTAAGCCGACACGCCCTCATTCTCGTCATCTCCCTTCCTAAAAAAGATCAGAAAAGAATCCCACATATTAAGAAAAAGAAACCATTCATTTCATTTCTCTTAACTAAATACAATTCAATTTATCACAACTCACCATCTCTTAGCTATATGCTCGGTTTCATCTTCGCCTCTCGAGTTGCTTATAGACGAGCCTTGCTCGAAATCATCTTCTCCTCCGAACGAGGCCGACGAGCATTCAGTCGTGGCTGCCACGTGGGCATTATCGAACGACCCGGAGGATGATGATTGTTTCCTGCCCGGTTGGGGCTTTGGGTGATTGTGGCTCCCCTTGTACACAATCTCGGTCACGTGCCCATCTAAGTCACGTTCGACTTTTTTCTTGGTCGGGCAGTTCGGATAGGTACATTTGTAGTAGCTTCGAGGGTTTTCGCTACCTTTGACCTGTTTCTGACCGTACTTCCGCCAGTTGTAGCCGTCATCCGATTTTTTCTGCTCCCGAGCATATGCCGGCGGCTGGGAGCCGTGGACTACGAGCCGCTGCTCGGTTTTCGGCTTGTTCGGGGGATTAGATTGCTCGTTTTCTTGTTGGCTTCTGAAATATGAGTCCTGTTTTTAAAAACGTCAAATAATCAGCTTCAATCTCAAGAAGAAAATAACCCTCTTTTTTTGCTTATGAAGAAAGATTAATTTTTTTTTTTTTTTTTTT